GTAACAAGAAGCTATTAGTAACAAGTGCCTCGCTAGTAGTAACAGGTTCGTTACTAGTAGTAACAAGAAGCTACTAGAAACAAGTGCCTCGCTAGTAGTAACAGGTGTCTTACTAGTAGCAACAAGAAGCTACTAGAAACAAGTGCCTCGCTAGTAGTAACAGGTGCCTTGCTAGTAGTAACAAGAAGCTACTAGAAACAAGTGCCTCGCTAGTAGTAACAGGTGCCTTACTAGTAGTAACTGCAAACAGAGGGCTTCACACCTTCTAGGTTATCAACCAAGGAGCCTGGTTCACAAGGCTTACAAACAAAGAGGGTCCAGGGTTCACACTGTTTCTCATGCGCCGACATGCGCGTGCGCGCTCAAGGGCCCTTACGGCCGCGGGAACAAAGGATGCAATCATCCACGAACGAAAGAAATCTTGCACTCCCTAAAATCTTCTTTCTCGTGAAGACCCGCTGGATCTGATCGCGGATCGACAGCACGGAGTGCAACCAAACCACGGGTGAGGACATCCCTCAAAAGGTGAGCTGGCTTGACCTTCGTTAAATGGTCTGCCAACTGGTGGAAAGTATCGATCCACCTAAACACCGAGCTCAGCTTCTCACCCTCAGGATCGAACTCGTTCGCGGTCTCCTTCAAGCCGCCGATGTCGATGGCCAGCCTCTTCTCTTGGGTGGATGCCAAAGGACCATCCTTGATGAGGATGTCGTACAGCGACCGGCAATCGGTCACAGCCTCAACCGGCACAAAGTTGGGCGGCAACCTTCCGCTCTGGAGCGGATTGTAGTCCTCCACCATGATCTCGGCGAGGAACTCACGCGCAAACACCGCCGACATCCATAGCCATGGTCTCACTGGCCAGCGTCGACAGGCATTGGCGCCGGATGCGGTGGCTCCTCCAGTCCAACAAGGAAGCGAAGTCGCCCTCCAAGGAGTCCACGCCGCTGCCTGCCAGGAAGACAAGTAGTCCAGCTTGTGACTTCAGCTCAGCTGCATTGGCCCAACTTGAATCGCTGAAGGCGATGAACTTCGCCTGCTCCATCGGGATGGGCCTGAACATCAAACCCCAATCAGCAGTCGACTGGGCCTCGATCACCAACTTGTTGAGCTGGATCAGGTTGGACACTGTGGGCTGTCCAGACATGTACAAAGACGTTGCGGCCGCCAGGTCGGGCCTTGTCTGGCCGACTAGCCAGTGGAGACAGCCGCCAAGCGAGCGTAGCTCTGTATGCTCTTGCGGAAGCAAAGGAGCATTTGGCGTCGAAGCACGCCACTTGGGAATCTTGGTAGTCGAAGAAGCTTGGATGAACTTCTTCTGCGTGAGCTTGACGATGCCGTTCTCCTTGGTGATCTGCTTCCCTCCGTACTCCAGGACTTCATCTTGGCGCGAATCCGCCCATGAACCGAAGTCAAAGGTCTTCTTGAGCTCCTCGAGGATGGCATCGGCTTCGGTAGGTTTTCCAGTGACAATCAAATCATCCACGTGGGCTCCCAAAACCAAAATAAGACGGCCCCGGCGGTAGTACATGAACACAGCGCGGTCCAAGCGCGACTGCACGAAGCCCATGGTGAGGAGTGTGTCCCTCAAGTGTCGCCAAAAAAGGCGAGGGCTGTTCGCAAGGCCAAAGATGCCTCGCACCACCAGGAGCAGTTGACCAGGTAGGAGTCCAGGAAGTCCTTCTCGAGGTTGGCGAAGGTACAAAGGCTCCTTCCTGCTTGCCAGTGACTGGTCGCCCTGAAGAAAAGCTCCAGTGATGTCGGAGTTGAACAGGAACCAGCCATCGTGGGAGGCGCAGATCTGGAGGATGAGCAGTAGACCCAATCGAGTCATAGTAGATGCATCCCTCCTCAAAGTGAGAAGGTCCGGGTCTCTGTCTCCTCGGCACACGATGCGTGCCTTGTGTTTCACTACCATCCAAGGGTAGGCAGACCCTTGAATCCAAGATCCGAGCTGGATCTGTGTGGTCCTCCACATACTTGGAGGCTTCCAAGCTGATGACCTCCACCGCCTGGTACTTGGTCCAGGTGTCCCACTCCTTCCGCAGGGCGTCGGCGTAGCCTTGCCGTTCTTCTTCAGGAATGAGCCGCCAGGGGATCTCCTTCTCAAGGGCTTTCTGCTGCTTGCGAGTTTGTGCGACCCAGCGCACGGCGTCATTGCCCTTGACTTGCAACCTCATGCGAACGCCCCAGAGTGCTCCACGTGGTTCGGAGTAGAGCTCGGTGTCATAGACCGGAAGGCGCTCATTGGCAGGGTAGCGGTTGTCCTCTGGTTCATCTGGTTCTTCCAGGCGTGCTTTCTTCTCAACAGGTTCTGCGACTTCGGGTGGAGGTAGTGCCATCTCCTCATCGAAGTGCGGGTCATCGATCGGGATCGCCTCTGGTAGAGGTTCAGGACGTCGAAGTAGTCCATGTATGGGTGTTCCAGGTGCACGGTCTTCTCGCATCGAAGGATGTGGATGTGTGGTGTTGGTGCCAACTGAAGGTGCCGAAGGTGAACTGTTCTCATGTGCTGGTAGTTCATCAGGTCGTTGTCCATCGCCTTCTGGCGGTAGGCTTGGTGTGTACTCCTCGACACCCAAGTCATCAGCGTCGGCCTCGAAGACGGGCACGTGGATCTCCTCATTCTCATCGGGCACAACTTCATCGGGTGGTTCTCCGTCTCTGCCGTTGTGGAACTCGTCCGGGAAGTCGTCCAAGAGGTTCTGAAGGGCCTCCTCGTCGATCTTCCATCGCTCTGTGCCATAGGTCGGCCTGAGCTGCTCTTTAGAGACAAGGATGAGCTTGCCACCTGATGCCACCCAGTAGTTGGATTGTGCCTCGTCGCCTTTGTGTGGTCCGACAATGGTGCCTCGAAACCACCCAGGCTGCAGGATCTTGCCTTTCTTCTTCTTGACCTGCCGCCAAAAGGCAACTAGTTCTCCAGGTTCATAGGTCAGACGTGAAGGACGACCTTGCCAATCTCAGCTGCTCGTCCTGCTCCATGCCTTGCAAGACTTCCAGTTGACCGTCAGGTCCAAGGAGAGCTTCTGGTACCCGGGGATTGCGACCGAATACCCATTGACTTGCGGAGGCTCCACAAGCTCTGACCTTGTCGTTCATGGCTGAGCCCACCAAAGTTCCAAGTAGTTGCATGCTGCTGTCGCCTGCCAACTGCTTCTCATCAATGATCTTGTTGGCGGTGTAGCGGAAGGCACGATTATAGGCCTCCACCTCGCCAGCCTGCCAGTGAGCCTCAGCCGGCACATAGTCCAGTTCCACCCCATGAGCTTGGAGTGTCTGAGCGAAGGCTCCTTGGAAAGCTCCGTCTTGATCCGCCCAAATGGATCTTGGCAAGCCAGCCCAACTAGCCCAGACCTTGTTGAAATTGTCCAGGACGTCCTCGGGGTTTCGGCTTGGGATCCAACAAAAGACATAGAAGCCGCCTGCAGGGTCCAAAACATGCAAGTAGGTGTGCTTGACCTCGTCCACGTCGTGCAAGAAGACCACGTCGAGGCACACCTTGTCGTTGAAGCTGCCCACGGCCTTCAAACTAGTAGGTCGCGGTGGCAATGGTCTCTTGGTCCTCTCGCAAGAAGCACATCTCAGTCTCCTTGCCAGTGCCACTGCTTCCGGGTCGATCTTGCCATGTTGAGCTAGGGCTCTCACGAAGTCCTCAGTTCTGGGGTGTCCCAGGTTGCGGTGCATTCTCACCAATGAAGGTGCCAAGCGTCGTTGTTCATGTCGTAGTGGAGGGCCAATGAACCAACATTCACCGGAGGCATAGTCTTGCCTCACAAGCCCTTGCTCGGCCATGCCTTGCTCAACATGCTCATCCAGTGGGTCTTCAACAACTTCTCCTTCTCGAAGAGGAGGTGGTTCTGGTTGAACACGTGCAGGTACGGGTTCATGAGGTTCACCTGGTGCGTGGCCGTGGATGAAGATAGCCACTCGCACTGGTGTGATGAAGCGCTCTCTCGGAGCTTGTGCAGTTGGAAGGTGTTCCGTCTCAATCAACACCTCATTGTCGTTCAGAAGCAACACGGAGCAACGATGTGTGTTCTCCAGTCCTGGTCTCACTCTCTTGGCCTTCGGCAAGTGGGCGATCTGGATGTTGAGGATCTGCCAAGGAACCAAGGGGATGACCTTCTGGTAGAGGTCGGAGGTGATGTCCAGGAAGCAACTGGCTTGAACACGTCGAGCCAAAATCTCTTCAGCTTGGGCGAGCAAAGGCCGCCACTCTTCCACCGTGCGGTTGACGTCGACGTAGTTGACATGTCGGGTCTCCATGACCTGCCAGTCGTAGTGCGTGCCAAAGTCTTCGCGCTGCACCACTTCCAGGTAGGCCTTGATGATGGTGTCGCCAACGTCAGGCGGGTAGCAAGCTGAGAGGGCAGTGTTCTTGCCTTCAACCTTCTCATGCTGGCGGTCGCCGGTGCACTGCTTGTTGAGGTAGTACACAAAGGTCTCATCGGTGGCCATCCAGCGAACACGTTTAAGAAGAGGGAGCCCGTGTTGCCCAACCATGCCAAAACGACACATGCAACTCGTTGTCTCCCAGTACTTCTGCCTCAGCTCTTGGAACTCAGGTTCCTGCCAGGAGTCGGCAGTAGCAGGGTTCTCCACCAAAGCGTGTCCGCCTCGGCTGCGTTGTGAATCGAAGACCTGCTTGACCAATCTGACGAAGGGCCTGTCTTCCTCCTGTAGCTGGTCGAGTTCAAAGGGATAGTCCCGGTAGTTGACATTCCGCTGGAGGATTGACCAAGGTGTGCATGGCATCTCGACAATGGCGAGTCGTGGGTTCCATTGGCGCAGCTTTTGGAGCAACCATCTCCTCATAATCCTGCGTCTCAAGTTGATGCCGTAGCGGATGTCAATGGGCTGAAGTACTCGAAGGTTCCAGCCTTGGACTGCTCTGATGCTGATCATGGAGGTGCCGCCAAAGATCTCGATGAGATCATATCCGAACTTCCGTCGGGGCCAAGTGCTCCGACTGACCTTCTGGGCGACAAGCTCTCGAGCAGTTCGGCTGTTCTGTAGCGCGCGTCTTGCGCTGCGCTTCAATCTCTTCTTGGTGCCAGGTCGAAGTGGAGCTGGATCAGGTAGAGGATCTAGTCGTCCGTCTCCATCCCCGCAAACTCCCAGTCCGAGCCGTTCTGCTGGCGGAATTCGGCCTGGTCCGAAGATGTCATCCTCGAAGAGTGTCTCGAAGCTTGGCCCGCGGACCTGCTGTGCTGCTGGGTCTGTGTAGCAGAAGGCGGTCGCGATGAGAGCGAGTAGCACTCTCCCAAGCTGGTGCAGCACTCCGTTGTGTCCCGCTGCACTCCTTGTGCTTGTGGATGCACTTTTCCGCCTGGTCGATCCCTCACCCCGTGCGTGATGCCGTAGACGATGACTTCCTCGTGGGTGATCGGGATCGTGTAGTTGTCCGGCAGGGCCTTCATCACCAGTCCGCACTGAATGCACTCCCTGAAACGTCCGTGTGCATTCCCGATCCGACGTGCTGCCTCCACGTCGTGTGGGCATAGCTTGACTTTCTCCGGGTAGGGTGCCTTGATCGCCTTGGCCGTCTGGCCCGGAGCTGCCGTCGTCGAAGGTGGCAAAGTCGATGGGAGCTGGAGGAACTGTTCCTGAGCGATCATGGCCTCCATGTAGCCCATCAATGCTGGTGCCCTGTGCTTGAACTCGCGGACCATGATATTGGTGATGTGATGCCTCATGAGCATGCTCCACAGCATGTCCATCTTCGTGACAAGGCGTGCCCACAGCTCCAAGCATTCCGCCCGGCTGCGCTTGAACTTCTTGCTGGATGACCTTGTCGAGGCTGCTGGGGGCATGAGGCAAAGAACGAATTGAAGGAGCTTGGAGTCTCGATCCAAATTGCCCTTCAGGAATACGAAAGGAATCCTTGTGGATCGTGCTCTCGTGCTCGAAAATCGGTGGACGGCTGTTGAAATCAAACTGCAAAATCTTCTTGTTGTGACGGGGCTTCAAACTGTTGGGAGCGACATGCAACTCGGCACCGTCATCAAACTTGACTGCAGTTCCGGCTGTGGTGACAGGGATCTTGATCTTGTGGGGGTCAAACCCTTGCAAGAAAAAGTATGTCTTGCCAACCCAACACTCCAATGAAGGTGGACACGAAGCATCCGGTGGGGTTGGCCAAGTATCCCAAATGTACTCCCTCGGCTTCGAACTGGCAACGATGGTCAATCTCGTGGGCTGGAGGTTTTGAGTCCCGGGCCCACTGTCCAGTTCTTCCGGGTCGAAAAGGTGTCGCCGAGGCCTCCGATGGTGCCGGACAACAGCTCCACAAGTGGTCATGTACTCCCAGTAGTCATTGGGAAGGGTGCACGGTCCCCGTGAATGCACCCCAGGGTTCAAAACATCATCATTGGGCTCGTACACATAGTTGTGGTCCATGACTATCTGGGACATGTTGAGGTCCATCTTGTCAGACTGCATCACGCCCTTTTGCTGCTGCTCGGGGCGCAGGAAGTTGGTGTCGTTTGACACGTTGAAAATGGCTCCAGGGTACTGATCCAAAGTGGTCGAAAGACCTGGAGGCCATCCTGTACATGGATAGTCCTCGATGCAGATGACCATGTGGCCAGACACATCGATGTAGAGGGGCACTTCACAGCTGGCTGCTGGCAAGGAAAGCCGGTTGTTGCCTAGGTCGATCACGGCCTTCATCATCACCAACCAGTCTTGACCGGCCAGGAAGGGCACCCGATTGGAAGCTGCAGCGTCTTCCTGGATGACTGAGGTGCGCACGATCATCGGGCGTCCATCGATCCCCAACGGAACCGACAGCCTCATCGTTGATGTCTTTGGTGCACCAGGGCCAAAGCAGTACTGTTCGCACTCCTTGTCGGCCAGTGGCATGATGCCATATGCACCGAGTCGCTGAAGCACCTTTTCCAGGTAGACGGAGCCGATCACCGTGTTCTCGCAGGCGGTGTCAATCGTCAGGTAGATCTTGTCAGGATCCACTGTCGGTGGCCTTCGGGTCAAAGACATAGCGCTCCTCGTTGAAGTGGTGTCGAAGTCCAGGCGGCGCAGCGTCAAGACATCTCGCTTCCGCCTCAACTCATCGAGATTGGGTCCAGGTTGAGGCTCTTTCAAAAGGTCCCAAACGGACTTCCCATCTCCCAAGGCGCCTGAGGTAGTAGACGGTGAGCTAGCAGCATGGGTCCGGATCGCTGCGTATGCCTCACTGCCGGAGAAGGTGGTCCCGGCTGGGCGGTTGGTCACTCGTGTCCAGGAACTCGTCGAAGAACAGGCTGTCCTTGGAGTCGTGCTCGGTCTCGATCTGGGTCTTGGCGTTCTGCTCCACATAGATGTTCCGCACCTGCTTGACTTGTTTGGGCGCCGCCGTCTTGGGACTTGAGGTCTTGAGGCCAATCGAAGATGATGGCATAGCCTTGCGCTTGAGCTCCCGGATTTCTGCGAGGGTCTCCGGGTCGTTGGCTGCCTCTTCATCTGTCTGTGGCTTGAGAGGTCTGCTGGCTGCATGCGATGAGCGAGAGGCCTCCGGAACATAGCTCTGTGCTTCCTCCTTCCAGAAGTGCCAGAAGTCCCAGTCGGCATCATCCCACTCCCATTCGCGTTCATCTCGGCCTTCATAGTCCTGCCACTCAGCCTCATCAGGTTCGTCTTGGCGGTACTCGGTGTGGTGCGTGAGGTTGGACTTCCGGTTGGGGCATTCGTCCTTCCAGTGGCCAACGGCGCCGCATTCAGCACATGCGGTCTTGGCCTTCAGCTCCTGCAAGGAAAGGCCGCCTCGGGCTCGGTTCTTGCCTGAGGACTTACCGCCCTTGCCCTTTCCTTTCTTCCCACCACGGCCTGCTCCTCGATCTCCGCCCTTGCCTTTGCCCTTGCCGCGGACGTAGTAGCCGCGAGCTTGGACAGCTTTGGCCAACTTCTGTCTGTTCTCTCGATGGGTGTTGAAGCAACCCACCAAGTCACGTGCAAGCTGCTCCGGGATGAAGGTGTCATCACGGATGTCGGCAAAGGTCTGTTCGGCGAGCATCTCAATGGGGTCATTGTCACAAAGCCACTCGTCCCATGAGATGGAGGTGTCCTGCAGGTCGGGGATGGTCCAGTCTGACGATGTCCATTGGGAGGAATGTTGTACCTCGTGTGCTGCTCTTCCTCGGTAGCCAGTTCCCTTAGAGGACGAGGGGCTGACCTTGACCATGGTGTTGGGGTAGAGCACGTCGATGGCATTCTTGATCTTGGCCCAATCATAGTTGCCACCAGTGCGCAACAGGAAGCTGGCTTGCCTCTCGTAGCTGGCATTGGTGTGCTGGAAGAAGACGTGGATCATCACCGCATCGGGAAGGTCCAAACCAGCTTCACGGCATTGTCTTGCCGCTTTGTCCAAATGCTCAGCCACTTCACGCATGGTGAGGTTCTTGTCGGCGGCCAGCTGGAGGTTGAAGAAGTTCTTCATGGCGGTGCCCATCTTGTGCATGGGGGTCTCGTCGTACTTGTCCCTCAACACTCGAAGGAGCACCTTCCAGCCGTCTGGAGCGCCAAAGGTCCGAGCAGGGACCTCCTCCAGGAAGTCAGCCGCTTCACCTTCAAGGGCTGCGTGAAGGCGTAGGCCAATCTCTCCATGGTCGATGATCTTCTCAGCCAGGGCCACGTAGCTGTCCACCTTGTTGACATACTTCTTGAAGCACCGTGGATCAGCTCTTCTGTCGCCATTGAACGATGGCGCAGTGGGCAAATTGCCTCGTGGCTTCTTCTGAGCCGAGCTGCTGTCTTTGCTCGGGCTCTTGCTATCTCTGCTGTCGCGGTCTCGGCCGGAGAGAGCTCGGGCATGGGAAGCCTCGCTGCCAGCCGAAGAGCCGCTTCTTGGACCATGCTTTCCATGGCTTTTCGTCGGTGTCCTCTGGGGTGAAGGCGAAGAGGTCGGCAAAGGTGAGGTCGGTGTAGGTTCCACCTGCTGCTCTTCATCGGCCAAGAACTCCTCTATGTCAGGGATCTGGTTGGCCTCTTCTTCTTCGCCTTCCGTCGCATCCTCGAGCTCCTCCTCCGTCTCGTTGGATTCCATGGCGACCGGGATGGCGTCACGAGTGGATCAAAAGGTTGTCGCTACCAATGCAAACAGAGGGCTTCACACCTTCTAGGTTATCAACCAAGGAGCCTGGTTCAAAAGGCTTACAAACAAAGAGGGTCCAGGGTTCACACTGTTTCTCACGCGCCGACATGCGCGTGCGCGCTCAAGGGCCCTTACGGCCGCGGGAACAAAGGATGCAATCATCCACGAACGAAAGAAATCTTGCAGTAACAAGAAGCTACTAGAAACAAGTGCCTCGCTAGTAGTAACAGG